GGGATTCAACCAGACTATAACGTACCTGTCTCATCAGGAACTCGGACTGAACCCATAAGGGAACCCCCCCCTCCTCTTAAGGATTTAGAAAGATCATCTTTCGAATTTTTGGTTACTGGAGACTTGAACATAGGGTAACAAGAAACTCAAAAACTAATTTAAAGAATGAAGTAAATAGATTTCACCCAGTCTCTTTCAACTCGAACGACCTCCGCACCTGCAGAACCCAACGCCGGGGGTAGCCCCGGCGTCGGCGATGCTTAAGTCAGTACGCAGCTCAAGAGAGAGAAAGCGTAGTAATGAAATGAGGAGAGAATGAGAGAGTGAGGTACCTTGGCCCCCTTTTATAGGGGGAGTGTACTTTTTAGGCCCAAGTTGGGCTTGACCCCTATCGTTGGGCTTAGATGTCTTAGTGGGTTTTATCCTCCAATATGTATCCGCTTTATCCATTAAACCGGGTCCAGTGTAATATCCTATATCAAAGAACTTATGAGAATTTCTCACTTTGCATGTTACACCTCTTTAGTAGAGCCAAATAATGCAAAAGAAGCACCAAAAGATGAATGTTCGATCACTTACATGCAAGAGGAACTAGAGCAGTTCACTAGGAATGATGTCTGGGAATTAGTTCCTGAACCTACATCTACATTTGGGTATATCATCAACACAAAGTGTATCTTCAATAACAAAACCGATAAGTTTTGGAATGTCACTCAAAACAAAGCTAGACTGGTAGCCCAAGGATACCCTCAGGCTCAAGGATACCCTAATTTTTATATACGAGATCCCCTCCTTATCCAAGCATCAACTCCAACCTTAAATATATGTTTTATAAATTGAATTAATATAATATATATAAATAAATTACTGATTGATGCCTCGGTTGTTCGGCAGCGATGCTGGCGGTCGGTCGGAGCTCCGCTGCCCCTTCAGCCCTCTTCCCCTTTCCTTCGGTGTACGGTTTGGGGTGGACCATTTTCCTAACCTTCGGCCAGTGGTGATGGCAGATGTGGGTCAGTTGGGGATGGTGGATTGTGGCGGAATCGGACAGTGGGGGACGTGGCTGCAACCTCGGTATCTTCGTAGTTCGGGGTTTTCCAGTTGTGGTTGGTCTCGCTAGTGGTGTTAGTGGGTCCGGTCTCCTGGTGGTCCTGAGGAATCTTGGGTGTTGAGGTTGTAGTTTGAGTTTTGATTTCGGGTGTTTTTCTGGGGCTAGGGCTGACTTCGTTAGGCCACCGAGTTGGTGTTTGGGCAGTTTCGAGTCGGTCCTCTTTGGCTGTGGGACTCATTCCGATTTCATCTCGGTATCCACCGGCTCTGCTTGGTTTCGTTTCTTAGGAAGGGCTTGTTTTTGTTTTGTTTAGTGTCTTTGTTTTCGGTAGGCTTTTGTTTGCTAGTTTTGGTTGTGTTTGTTTGTTTAGGGCATGTATTTTTTGTTTGGGTCGTTGGCCCCTGTGAGCTGGAGTGTCAACTTATTATCCCATTGGGATCTGACACTCAGGTATTATCCTGCTTGCTGGGATATTTTTTAGTTTTTGTTTGTGTGGTTTTCGTGTGTTTTCATTCTAGCTCTGCTAGTGGCGGATTTCTAGGCGATCTCCGGACAGATCCTCCCACTTTTCAGCCGTTGGCTGCTTTGTATTTGTGTATTTTCACATTTGTGCGTTTTGATTTATATAAAATATCAATCATTTCGGGAAAAAAAAAGTTTTATATTTTTATTTATTTTATATTTATATTTATAATTTAATTAAATCAATTCACATTTTATTTTTTATATTAAATAGTAATATATTTATTTATTATTTTCAAATTTCACATTTAATTTAATTTTATTCAATTTAATTTTTTATATTATTTTATTTTGAATATATTTTTTATAATTACTTTAATTTGTGATTATTTTATTTTTTATTTTTTGTATGATTAAGTTTTCTTCTGTTTCGCGTTGTTGTAGATAAATATGTGTTATAGAATGATAGTGGAACAGTAGTTTGAAATTTTGCATATTTTTTTTTTTTCAATTTCATAATAAAAAAGTATATAGAAAATGAATAATTGTTTCATACATGAATGTGTATTGCGCCGTTAAGTTGAACTGAGAGGGGTGAATCGTGCAACCATTATTTAATACAAGGTATGACTTAATTTTTGAAATTAAAAAAAAAAGGAAAAAAAAATGTAGATTTCGTACAATACAATGGCCCCATCAGCCCATGTATATTTTACCCGTACTTTTTTGTTCTTTTTTAATTAAGTTCCGTAACCAATTCCAATACTAGTACTCTGAAATAGAAATGTTAGTTATCAAGATTGCGTGTCTCCTTATTTTAATTTACTAATTTTGGAAAATTTGAACTAGCATCTTAAA